AATAAATTTTTTTTTAAAAACGCTACTGCAGTAACTATGCACGGGCTGTATCTATAATTATTTGTATGATGAGATTTTAAATACTGATCAGGGATTTTAATCAAATCAATAAATGCAGACATGTGAAAAGACATGTAAATTAAAAAAAGTTAATAAATGCTGATCAGGGGACCAAATCAATAAATGCTGAGATTTTTTTTAAATAAAAAATAAAAAATTTAGAAAATTCAGATTGAGATATTGAAGCTCTAACAAGCCTTGGGGGTTAAAAACCCCTTTTTGTTTAATATATAGTATAGATAATATATAATATATATTATAAGATGAGAGAAATAAAGTGGTATCTTATTATAATAGAGGAGATCTTATAAAAAAAAACGTGTATACATAAATGTCTTCCTATTTTATTGTGTTTACAATTATCTATATATATGAATTGTGATTTTTAAATTTTTTTTTTTAAATGTCTTCTTTTTTTTCTTTTTTTATATTATATTAAAGTTTAATATTTTGATAATAATCATAAGCATTGGACTTTTTAAGGAAATAAATGTCTTTTTTTTATTATATTATATTAAAGTTTAATATTTTGATAATAATCATATGTGTTGGACTTTTCAAAAAAAAAAATTATGTTTGTTCTTAATGCATTAAAGTGTTATTATGAGGGATAATAATCATACGTGTTAGGATTTTTCAAGGAATTCATATGTGTTGGATTTCAAAGAATTTTTTTTATGCTTGTTCTTAATGCATATTATTATGAGGGTAAAACGTGAGAGTTGGGAGATGTTAATAAATGCTACAAGATTTTTTTTTTTAAATAAAAAAATCAAGAAATTTAGATTGGGAGATTGGAGCTCCCACAAGACTTAGGGTTAAAAACCCCCTTTTACTTAATATATAGTATAGGCATATCACCCGTGCTATGCACGGATTCTGTTTACAATTATTTATATATGTGAATTGTGATTTTTAAATGTCTTTTTTTTTTTCAATGTCTTCTTTTTTTCCTTTTTTATATTATTAAAATTTAATATTTTGATAATAATCATATGTATTGAACTTTTTAAGGAAATAAATGTCTTTTTTTTATTTATTATATTATATTAAAGTTTAATATTTTGATAATAATCATATGTGTTGCACTTTTCAAGAAATTTTTTTTATGTTTGTTCTTAATGCATTAAAGTGTTATTATAAGGGATAATAATCATATGTGTTAGGATTTTTCAAGGAATTCATATGTGTTGGATTTCAAAGAATTTTTTTTATGTTTGTTCTTAATGCATTAAAGTGTTATTATGAGGGTAAGACTTGAGAGTTGGGAGATGTTAATAAATGCTACAAGATTTATTTTTTTTTTAAATAAAAAAATCAAGAAATTTAGATTGGGAGATTGGAGCTCCCACAAGGCTTGGGGTTAAAAACCCCATTTTGCTTAATATATAGTATAGATAGCCTATCACCCGTGTTATGCATGGAATAATTATAGATATTTGTATTTGTTTTAGATTTTTTAATGTATAAATTATGTTCTTTAAGATTTTTTATAAAAATAATTTAACAATGTTATCACTAACCATAGTGTATGAGAGAAGTTGAAATAGGTACTGCAATAACTATGTATGGATTGTATCTATAATTATTTGTATGAGAAGATTTTAAATGCTGATTAGAGAATTTTGACCAAATCAATAAATGTAGGTATGTGGAAAGACATGTGGATTAGAAAAAGTTAATAAATGCTGATCAGGAGATTTTGACCAATTCAATAAATGTTAAGTTTTTTTTTTTAATCAAAAAAATCAGGAAATTAGGATTGGCATATTGAACCTCCCACAAAGCTTGGGGTTAAAAACCCCATTTTACTTAATATATAGTATAGATTTGTTAGCATCTCATACAGTACCCAAAATATATATATATATACCCTTAGCATAGTCACTGAGTGGATAATCATAAAATTTGTTCAAAATACAAAAATATAAGGCAATTTTCTTTTGGGTGGTTTGGATGACAACAATTATAATTTAAGCATTTGTCTAAATTCCTACCACAGTTAAGTATTTGTCAAAATGTACTTTTGCAAACAAAGATGAGTAGGATCTACAGCAATAAATATATATAAATAATTTTTATATCTAGCAGTGAGAAAATTAAATAAAAATTTATTGATTCATAACATTTTTCTTAAAAAAAATTAAGACTACATAAACGAATTTCTTTGAGAAAATGCATGGAATGGTATGAAATAAATGATTTGGTAAGACTTCATCATCAAAACAAAACAAAACAAAAAAAAAAAGAGTCTCTCTATCTCTTTTTTTCTTGTGTTTATTGCCTTAATGTAGGATCTATGTGGCTTAAGCAAGGCCTCTAAGACTAGTTTTCTTTCTTGGGTGGAAAGAGGCTTTCTTGACAATAATATTATGAAACCTTATGCAACTCAACCCCCACCTAATTAATAAATGCGATTGTCATCAAGATACTTCATTCAAATGATTTGTTATAAAAATTAACTCAATTTGCAAGTCATTATTATTATAATAGTAAATAAATGTTCTGGATGTTAATAATTGTCAGGTAAGTATACTCACATTCCACCAAGCATGAGAATATATATTTTTGATTGATTTTGAAATTCAATCACTATGCTTGGTTATCATTTTTCAAAAATACTTTTCAGAAAATTCTATTTTTTTGTTTTTCGCATTTTTTTGTTTTTATTGAATTTTTTTAATATTTTGAGTAATTTTTTTAATTTTTAAACATACCTAACATACATATACCTAAAAAGTAAAAAAAAATCGAAAAAAAACCTTTTAAAAATTCACTAAATACCAAAAATATGAAAAAATACGAGAATTTAATACATTTTTTGTATTTTTATGTATTTATTAATTTTTAAAAATATTTTTTCACAAATTTTTTACTTTTTAGATACATCTAAGTAAGGTGCATCTAAAAAAGTAAAAAAATGTTTAAAAATTTTAAAATATTCACTAAAAACAAAAAAACACGAAAATCAAAAAACTCAGTTTTCAAAAAACTTAATTCAAAAAACTCAAACCAAACACACTGACCCTGCTTCTTTATCCACAATCAAGGTTCAAAGGGGGTGTTTGTTTCAGCTTTTCAAAGTTAACTTATAGCTTTTAGTTTTGAAAAAGTTATTTTGAACTGTTTGGTTAAGCTTATTTCAAACAGCTTCTGATTCTGACAGTTTATTTTAACTCAAAAAAGTTGATTCTGAGAAGCTGCTCACCCCTTGCTTCTGATTATCAGCTTCTGCTGTGGACATGTTAATATATGGTTATACTCTTAGGTTTTTTTATTTTTTATTTTTTTAAAAATAGAAAAAGACCCAAATGGACTATAGATTATTATTATTATTATTTATGAGAAATGTAGACAAGTAGTAAATAACAAAAAATAAAAATTAATTGAAAAATTATTTCACAGCTTATTTAACAAACACTACTCAACAACTTAAATCTATAATCCAACAACTACACCAAACAGATTAATAATTTCTGATTAAAGTCATAATATATAATTTATTAAGGTATAATCTATAAGCTGTTTTAACAGTTACACCAATGAGGACCAAAGATTGCCATCAAACGTGTACTCTCAATGATTATAATAGACTTAACAATGTCAAATCATATATTTAATTTGGCCTAAATTTTGACATTATTATAATTAAACAATTATTACAGCAAAAATCCTTTAGAGATCATTTTTTTCACAAACTACCATATTATAGCAATGGCGGACTGTTTGATAGACTACTAAAGATACTCTTAATAAACATCCGCAAGAGGATAAAAGGATAGGCGAAACAAGAGATGTTCCAATGAAAAAAATATATATAACTATCTAGTGATTTTTCATATTATAGCAACGATATTCTGAACTAAAAGAATTATTTAGAAAAATACTCAAAACTTTGAAATGTGTTAATTATATATATTTTGAGTGTAGCATATATTACACTAGTTTAAATTTATGTCATAAATTTAAATTCTAAGTATTTTGTTATATAAATAACAATGTGATAAAGATGACAAAGTTGTATCTCCAATTTTGGCCCTTTTTGGGAGGTAGGTTATAATCCACTACCCAGATTATAACCCACTTCCTCTCCTATAAGCAGTTTTTTATCAAAAAACTGATTATAACTATCTTCTTAAAATAACCCTTTACAGACTGAAAACAACAGTGATAAAGTGCAAGTAGCTAGAGTTTTGGCTAGTAGGTGATAATGTTAATACAAACTATTAGAGGTCGATTAGTCTGGTTAAAACAATAAATTATTAATATTTCAAAACTATTACAATAGAACACATATCAATACAACAAACTACGATAACATTTAATTGTAGAAAACTCTTAATTAATAAGAGGATGAAGTAAAAATATAGAATACGAAAAGAATATTTATATATATAATAAAAGAAGGTACTTTTTTAGATTTCTTTGTAAAGCAAATAAAGAGTCAATATATGCCTAGAAAGAAGACGAGAGGAAAAATTTTAACCTTATATTTCAAACAATCAATCTATTGTTCAAGAAAATCACGATAATTTTAAAATCCCAAATAATCTTATAAGCAACCAAAAAAAAAATCAATTTTATTTAAGCTAACAATAAAAGTAAATAAATTATATATATAGAAAGAAATTAGATAGCAAAATAAAAATTAAAAAGGGAAATTGTAGGGTATTTTTGAAGAAGATAGAAGAAATGTGCTATAATTTACTAACCAGTGTTTAACAAGCATTATGAAGTTTAAAAAATGTCAAAAATATTCAAATTTAAACACATAAAGGATGTTTGGGAAAAAGGCTGAGCTAAAATAATCCACTAAAAGACAAACTAGGCTAAAATAACCAATAAGACAATGTCACATCGAACTCACAATTATTTCACATTTTTTTTCACAACCATCAAATTAACTATAAAAACAAGCCAACCAACTTCCCAAACGCAACTATTTTAACCAAGTTAAAATAAGCAAAAAGTCAAATAACCAACTTCCCAAACAAGGCCATATTTTTCTACATTTTTATTGTTGGGATGATTACTCAGCATAACATAACAGGGCACAACTCTTTCATAAGCGGTACTGATGATTTCTGAAATGAAAAAGATAATAAGAAAATAGCCAAACAAAAAATAACTCCCTACAAATAGTTTCATAAATAAGAACTTAGAGCTGAAAAATGTCCCAAATAACCTATAAATGAGTCTAAAAAACATAATAAGACCGCCCAAATTTACACCACCCCCATAACCAGACAGCAATTGAGAACTACTCAAGCAGCTGCAGCACCAAAAAGGCTCCAGTCATTGACCTTGAAACTAGAGACTGCAAATTTAAAAACCTCAGCCATTGGCATACATCCTGATTGTGCAGCCGGTACAGCCAGACCAGCACCGACTGCGCTTGCGCTTTCACTCAAAGGGCTGCAGCCACATTAGCAAAACAAATGATATAGTGTCAGGAAAATTCCCCCAGTAACAATATTATTATTAGACTAAGGTGTCATTTGATAACATTTAAGCTTTGTTTGTTTTGAATAAAAATATTTTACAAAACAATTTTATACAAAATATAACTTTTCTTTCTATTTTTGGTGTTTGGCTAATGTTTGTAAAATTATTTTTTAATACTCAGATTACCAACATCCTATCAAGGATCACATGCAAAGTTCTAGTTTCAACATCCAAAGGGGTGGTCCGTCTCCGTAGCAGTGAGTCGAGCAAGTAAGCCAAAAATGACTTACCGAATTATAAAAGGAAAGTCGTTTTGGGGCTTTTGACACAAGTTTTTTTTGTAAAAAAAAAAAATATTTTACTTACTTTTATGTCTAACCAAACAATGTAAAATGAGTTCCGTCGAAACAAATGGAGCCTTACAGTTTACTATTTTTTGCTACAGGAAACATTGAATATGTTTGTGTTTACTTTTGATAAAAAAGCAACAAAAAGATATGTTTGATAGACATGTTTTAAAATTTTGATTTGAAAACAAATGAGAGGGGCGGCCTGCAGGGAGGTGTGACCAAAGATGGTTATTGACAGTCAGAGATAGTGGCCAAAGGTCATTGTCAACTGCCAGAGGTAGTTTTTGCCTGTTGGAAATGGTGGCCGAAAGTGGTTTCCAGCAAAAGATGGTTGTTGCCAGTGGGAGGTGGTTGTCGAAGAAGGTCCCCGAAGACAGTGGCCAGAGGTTGTGGTGGTCGGTGGCTGAAGGGGGTGAGAGAAGAAGGAAGAAATGAAAACTTTTTTTCTAAACGAGTGAAACCACAGCTTTTTTTGTGGTTATAAGAATTTGGATGGGCAACAAGTGAAAGTGTCACAGAAAATCTTTCAAGATAACTCCTCTAATCTCCAACATATTGAGACAGCAAGCTATAACTGAGACCTGCCTGCCACACATGTTGTGTCCATCTACTTGCATGAAGATGTCCTTGCTTAAAAGTGTATGTGCAGGACAGTTAAATTGCTTGAACAGGGTGAATGTTCATACTCCAAAGAGTTTTGAACACTGTTGCTATAAAACAGGATTGGTTTCCTCTAGTGTATCTCAATGAGGAACCGTTAAACAAAAAGATGGAACAACTGACAAAAGCCAAATTATTAATCCTAGATGATACTTACCTTATTAAGATGGGTTCATATGCAGTGATTAGTACATCGGTGCCAACTTCCTTGAGGCGCAAATTTGCCAAATACACCTGCAGGAATCAATATTTCAAACTTTATTTGGCAATTTGAAACAAATAACCAGCAGTAGAGATAAAAAAAATACCAACTTACCCTAACTGTATTTTGAGCTTCTCTTCCTTGACGTCCCTTAGAGATGGCCTAAGCATGAATGGTAAAGAGGTTGGTAAATATCAATTAAAACAGGCCAAATGCATCTTTGAATTGAGTGCATTCTCAACAAGATACTATCAACTAAAACTAGTCATTACTATCAATGATGAGCCAAAGGCCACTAAGTTGCTCATGAGTTTTACAAGCGTGCACATACATGTTTCTTATCCCACTTATCACAAAGTAATTGACTCTAAAACAGTCATTCAAATGAATTAAATATTTATTCTAATAACCCTACTATGGTTTAGCTGGTAGAGATGTTCTAATTAGTAATACACATAATACAATCAGCGTTACCCGAAAAACCTAATACCATAGTGATTTAAGTTTTGTGTTCCAAAATATGGCACACTTTCGTTCCAAAACCGAGAATTTAGCGATCCAAAATAATCCCAAAAATTTTCCTATAAATTTTCATAAAAGTTTCGTATAGGAGGAAAAAAAATCAAATATAATACATTAAAATCTAGAAAGAATTGAATTTTTACATGACCAAAATGTAAAACAACTGGACCATAATGCTTCTAGAATTGTGTTTTTACATGATTAGTTTATAACTATATTTTATTAGATGTCCAACTATTAAAATATAATTGCTATCATATTTAGTAGTCGCATAAATTTAAGTAGAGTGATCTATACAACCTGAACGATCCACGTTCCAGGTAAAAAATCATAAATGGTGCAACTATTATATGATTGCACTGGCAAAGTAGGGAGCCTACAGGGAAGATTAGAGCAGTAAGCAGCTTGACAAGTATTTTTGCCATCACATATACATTTACAAGTCCCAATTAGAATAATCAAGCCCTAGAGCAACTGCTTTTTCATCCTTCCAAAGTCACTGAAACTTCAAATTCTCTTACACAATAGCACTAGGCAATATTAATTCAATAGGTCACCACCATAACCAATGGCATGCAAAATTTAGAACCACCTGAGATACATATAACAAAAGCATAATAAATTCATCGAAAGCAACATCACTTTGTGTAATTGATATGCCATTTTTTACCATCTGGCCAACTGCAGTAGTAACAACTGCAGGGATGTTTCTGAAACGCAACCCATCAGCCTCAATCACTGCAGACTGCTCAATTATCTGAAACAACAAAATGAAAGGATAGTTAAATACAAAGTGTATATCATAGAAACTAAAACAAACAAAACACAAAGTTGCAAAAACACCTATAAAATTTACAGTCAATTCTTTGCAGAAATCATCAGTACCACTTTTGAAAGAGTAATACCCTATTAAGTTATGCTAAGTAATCATCCCAACAACAAAAGATTCTCAAGAAAGTGCCAAAACCAGAAACTTAAAGATCATTAGTGCTTCCTTTTCTAAGACAGACAGTTAATTGTAATGTTGCGATTTTTGGAAACTAATAAGAAAGCTTATTACAAATAGGAAAGAGAATAGAATGAACAATGGACCACATGTTCAATAACAAAGACATTTATTTTTAAGAATTTTTTTAAAAAAAAATAATAACTTATAATTGGCAAGAGCCAAAAGTCATCCAACTATCATAAGACTCCACAATGTCATCGCGTTGACATGAATTTGACAATTCCGTCATGTCAAACATCCTTTTGGCAAGCATAAGAATCCATATGCACGATTCAGCATCTGAAAACAAAACACAGAGATTCATAGAATTTCTCTAGACTCAGAAAAGTGAGTAAGGGCAATTTTACCATTCTGTTTCTATTTATGTAACATGACAGTCTCCCAACTTCATCTTCCTCCATCCTACTCTATATGTCTCCTATCTCATACCACTCACTCTTTGTACAAAATCTTCAAATGGTCACTCTACCACCACACCTTCAAATGCCAGCAAACAGAAAGGGAAAAAATAAATTAGCCACTTGACTCTATTACACATGACCAAGTGTTAAAGTTACAAATAATATTTCAAACTGTTTTTCCCAGTAGCCCATACAATATGCCAATACCAGGGATATATTTGTCTAACACTACTCAATAATAATATACACTCTCAACACCACCGTGCTCCATTTTTCAATAGATTAAATATGGAATCCCTTACTCATACAAATACAACGATGCAAAGCCAAAAAAAATTATCTAGATACCACATTTTCATAATAAGCCCTGAAAAATAAAATGAGAATGTTGATTTAGTTACCATGACTTCCTCAGCATCTTGTTCTCTGGCAAGGTCTTGAAGAAACCAGGTGGCACTTCCATTGTCAGCAACTTCAAGTTTCAGATCTAAAAGTTCAAATATCAGACTTTCATCACGTGTAGGGTCCGCAAAAACCTCCTTCAAACAAGCAATGAATTATTACAACATGAAGTCAGTCAACAATTGAGATCCAAAAAAAGTGATAATGAAACTGAAACAGACAGAGCATCATATGAACGAAACAAATTGGAGAACTATTAAAAGAAAAATGCATCAATAACCTGGTGATCAGGGACTTGTCGAATCTTGCTCACATCCTGCAAGTCCAACGCAAGTTCATCAGTAAATGGCCTTGTCTAGTGTTCAAATATTAATGAACCCTTAGATATGTATACATAGATATAAGAACTAACCTGAAATCGAAGAGGGAATGTGCTGGCTATTGCGCCACCAAACAAGGGACGCTCGGCATGGTAATCTTCTGCCATTTTTAGCAATGTTTAGACCCAATAGCGCACTTTTCCCAACTAGAATCAAAACAACACGCCCATCAAAACCAATTGCACATTCGTGCACTCAAGACATTTATGAAAGTCATACTTGTTTTGTGTTGCACAAAATCGGACAAATCGAATCATTGATTTCTAAAATTTTGGTGAATTTAAAGTACTTACCTGTGAAGCGTAGAAAGCAGAGCAAATAGTGGGGGCAAAGAAGAAATCAAAGTTCTCAATTTTACTTTATTTTTAACTGTCAGATTTTAATTAGGAACCAACAAACATTTCAATTAGGCACAACGTCAAGTTGAGACATGTCAAGTGGAATTCACGTGTAAGCTTTGTGTTTTGATTGTTAGATAATGTCTCAATGGGACCACATAATTAAATGTGGTGTTATCATTTATAAGAAGCCTACAATTTAAATGATTCAATTTAGTTAATAGGCTTAAGGGTATATGTGTTATGGACCTAATGTGTAGATACTAGTTGTATAATTTCTATTTCTATGAGGGGCAGAAATAGAAATTAAAACATATTGGTTAAAGTTGGTTTTCATTCCTTTTGAACTTCCACAACCTTTCAGCTTTGAAAACCAGTAAATAGAAATCAAAACCAACAATGGTTAAAGTTGGTTTTCATTCCTTTTGAACTTCCACAACCTTTCAGTTTTTTTGAATAAAAAAACAATAGAATCTTCTCAAAAGGAAGAGATACAGACACCCAAAAAAAAAGATAAATAACACTTCTATCCATAACTTCCTAAAGTCTTCTAACTTCTCATCAAATACTCGCAATACACTTTGACCAAATCACCTAAAAATTGCGCAAACCATGCACTTCCATAAAGTTTGGGTCGTTGAATTTTATTAAATGTTACTAGAAAATGCGAATACCCTAGTGAATTGCATAATGGCACACTTTCGTTCCAAAACCGAGAATTTAGCGATCCAAAATAATCCCAAAAATTTTCCTATAAATGTTCATAAAAGTTTCGTATAGGAGGAAAAAAAATCAAATCTAATACACTAAAATCTAGAAAGAAATGAATTTTTACATGACCAAAATGTAAAACAACTGGGCCATAATGCTTCTAGAATTGTGTTTTTACATGATTAGTTTATAACTATATTTTATTAGATGTCCAACTATTAAAATATAATTGCTATCATATTTAGTAGTCGCATAAATTTAAGTAGAGTGATCTATACAACCTGAACGATCCACGTTCCAGGTAAAAAATCATAAATGGTGCAACTATTATATGATTGCACTGGCAAAGTAGGGAGCCTACAGGGAAGATTAGAGCAGTAAGCAGCTTGACAAGTATTTTTGCCATCACATATACATTTACAAGTCCCAATTAGAATAATCAAGCCCTAGAGCAACTGCTTTTTCATCCTTCCAAAGTCACTGAAACTTCAAATTCTCTTACACAATAGCACTAGGCAATATTAATTCAATAGGTCACCACCATAACCAATGGCATGCAAAATTTAGAACCACCTGAGATACATATAACAAAAGCATAATAAATTCATCGAAAGCAACATCACTTTGTGTAATTAATATGCCATTTTTTACCATCTGGCCAACTGCAGTAGTAACAACTGCAGGGATGTTTCTGAAACGCAACCCATCAGCCTCAATCACTGCAGACTGCTCAATTATCTGAAACAACAAAATGAAAGGATAGTTAAATACAAAGTGTATATCATAGAAACTAAAACAAACAAAACACAAAGTTGCAAAAACACCTATAAAATTTACAGTCAATTCTTTGCAGAAATCATCAGTACCACTTTTGAAAGAGTAATACCCTATTAAGTTATGCTAAGTAATCATCCCAACAACAAAAGATTCTCAAGAAAGTGCCAAAACCAGAAACTTAAAGATCATTAGTGCTTCCTTTTCTAAGACAGACAGTTAATTGTAATGTTGCGATTTTTGGAAACTAATAAGAAAGCTTATTACAAATAGGAAAGAGAATAGAATGAACAATGGACCACATGTTCAATAACAAAGACATTTATTTTTAAGAATTTTTTTAAAAAAAAATAAAAACTTATAATTGGCAAGAGCCAAAAGTCATCCAACTATCATAAGACTCCACAATGTCATCGCGTTGACATGAATTTGACAATTCCGTCATGTCAAACATCCTTTTGGCAAGCATAAGAATCCATATGCACGATTCAGCATCTGAAAACAAAACACAGAGATTCATAGAATTTCTCTAGACTCAGAAAAGTGAGAAAGGGCAATTTTACCATTCTGTTTCTATTTATGTAACATGACAGTCTCCCAACTTCATCTTCCTCCATCCTACTCTATATGTCTCCTATCTCATACCACTCACTCTTTGTACAAAATCTTTAAATGGTCACTCTACCACCACACCTTCAAATGCCAGCAAACAGAAAGGGAAAAAATAAATTAGCCACTTGACTCTATTACACATGACCAAGTGTTAAAGTTACAAATAATATTTCAAACTGTTTTTCCCAGTAGCCCATACAATATGCCAATACCAAGGATATATTTGTCTAACACTACTCAATAATAATATACACTCTCAACACCACCGTGCTCCATTTTTCAATAGATTAAATATGGAATCCCTTACTCATGCAAATACAATGATGCAAAGCCAAAAAAAATTATCTAGATACCACATTTTATAATAAGCCCTGAAAAATAAAATGTGAATGTTGATTTAGTTACCATGACTCCCTCAGCATCTTGCTCTCTGGCAAGGTCTTGAAGAAACCAGGTGGCACTTCCATTGTCAGCAACTTCAAGTTTCAGATCTAAAAGTTCAAATATCAGACTCTCATCACGTGCAGGGTCCGCAAAAACCTCCTTCAAACAAGCAATGAATTATTACAACATGAAGTCAGTCAACAATTGAGATCCAAAAAAGTGATAATGAAACTGAAACAGACAGAGCATCATATGAACAAAACAAATTGGAGAACTATTAAAAGAAAAATGCATCAATAACCTGGTGATCAGGGACTTGTCGAATGTTGCTCACATCCTGCAAGTCCAAGGCAAGTTCATCAGTAAATGGCCTTGTCTAGTGTTCAAATATTAATGAACCCTTAGATATGTATACATAGATATAAGAACTAACCTGAAATCGAAGAGGGAATGTGCTGGCTATTGCGCCACCAAACAAGGGACGCTCGGCATGGTAATCTTCTGCCATTTTTAGCAATGTTTAGACCCAATAGCGCACTTTTCCCAACTAGAATCAAAACAACACGCCCATCAAAACCAATTACACATTCATGCACTCAAGACATTTATGAAAGTCATACTTGTTTTGTGTTGCACAAAATCGGACAAATCGAATTGTTGATTTCTAAAATTTTGGTGAATTTAAAGTACTTACCTGTGAAGCATAGAAAGCAGAGCAAATAGCGGGGGCAAAGAAGAAATCAAAGTTCTCAATTTTACTTTATTTTTAACTGTCAGATTTTAATTAGGAACCAACAAACATTTCAATTAGGCACAATGTCAAGTTGAGACATGTCAAGTGGAATTCACGTGTAAGCTTTGTGTTTTGATTGGTATAGATGTTGTTGGTATATTTGTTAGTATCCAATGCTGGCTCTAAGTTCTTGGGGGGCTTAGGTGAACTCTCTTAAACTGGACCCTTTATTCATAATCACAAAAACAAAAACAAAAAAACCTTCGTGGGTAAAATGATAAGTACCTGAAATTTTTTTTTTTTCATTAACATGATTTCATTATCGACTGAATCTGAGCTCTTTCTTTGTTTGTTGCCACTAAAAAAATTATCAAGAGCTCCAACTCAAGATTGAATTAATTTTTTTACTTTCTTTTTTTTTTATATATACTTTTTTTCATATCAAGAACTATACTTTCTAGGAAACATGATTATATATAATCAACCGAAATTGAAGATAAATTTAACCCATAGAGATTATCTGAAATTTAATAGGAATTCAACCCAAAATCCAACAGCCCGCAGAAATTTATGAACAAAAGCATGACAAAATTTAAATTAAACAGAAATTTTTAAAAAATTATGGCACCAAAATTATATTAAAAAATAGGTTAAACCCCAGAAAAAGAAAAAATTGAAAAAAAAAAGAAAGGAAAAAGAGAAATGAATCAGTAGTGAAGATCAAACAGAGAGAGAACTCACCGGACAGGGAAGATCGTCGATTGCTTCGTCGCCCATTCACGGTTCGTTTCCAATGCACAAGCAAGAGACCACTCCCAATACTCTGCAAAATGTATCGGTCACTGAAAAGGAAGTTCAGTGCTAACTGACTAAGCAGGTTTGCTTTTTAATTTTTTGATTTTTTTGATTATTTTAATTTAGATTAAAAAATTTAGTTTGTGAGGGATTTTTTGGTTTTTTAATTTTTTTTTATGAGAAAATAGTATAATGATTATGGATTAAATGTGATGTTTTATTTATTATGATTAAAATAATTTATTTTATTTTTTGTAACTGTTTTAGCCCCAAAACCACTCGCCAAACAGCACCTATGGCTTCTATTATTTGCAATTTTTACCGAATGCAATTTTATAATTCTTGATCCCCAAATTTTGTTTTTGAGAACAAGCTTTTTAAAGTCATTTTTTTGCTAAAATATGTTATTTTAGTAATTTTTTTTGATTTTTTATAAAAAAATGTGTAAAAAAAATAAAAAGAATGATATGAAAATATATAGTGACTGTTTGACTTTTAGTTAAAATATTTATGTTTAGAGATAATTTTTTAACTTTTTCAAAAAAGATGTACACAAATTAGAGTAAAGGAAAAGAATCTTCAAACTTTTTTTTTGTGAGTTGAAAGTTTGTTAATTTTTCACATTTGGCAACACCATAAACAATATCACCTCTCTATTTTTATGTACGTCTTTTCGTAATAAATAACAAAATCAATTTAGGATTTGTTTAAGAAGTGGGTTGGTTTTTTTACTTTTTCTCGTTTTGGTTATTGTAACCTGAGGTTAAAAAGTCTCATTTGGGAAGAATTTTTTGACTTTTTTTACTTTTTGTAAAAGAAAAAATGTAATGATTATGGGTTAGATGTGATATTTTGTCTTATTAGACTAAAAAATCTATTTTGTCTTTTTACAACTAAAATAGCCCCAAACCCAACCCAGTCTTCTTTCCAAACGAAGCCTTATTAATCATACCAAAAAATGACTTTTAGTTTTTAAGTTAAAATGTTACCTGCCAAACAAGTGTAAATATATATATATATCATATTTTTAACTTTTGTAGTTTAACCAAAATTTTATTTTAATTCTTTTTATTTCAAATTGAGCAATTTGGTTATTACATTTTAAATCTAATTTTAATTTGGATCTTGTGTTTAAGTTGAAGTTTAAAATTAAGGCAAACTTCACTTTACCCCCTATAGTATAAGCCATGTGTAGATCACCCTCGAATATCACTACATAATCCCTTGTGGTTGATGGAGTGGAGTGCATAGTTAGTTTTTTCATCTATTCTAATTAGGGGTGTCCGCGGTTCGGTTTGGGACCGTTTGCAATTCGGTTTGGATCCGCCCGCATGTATGCGATTTGAGAAAAAGTCAACCCGCAACTGCCCGCAATGCGGTTTGCGGTTTGTGCAGATAGGGTTCGCAGTTGTAAGCGGTTTGCAGATTGAATTTTTTTTCAAATTTTTTTTGTTTAACCTTTTTTTTCCCCATTTTTTATTAATATTTCTTTTAGACCTTTTTCTCCCATTTTCTAAAATACTCTAACATTAATAATTAATGAATTAAAACTTATAAAAAACTTATAAAATAAAAAAACCCAACAAAATCAATTTGTAACCTAAACAAATCATTCAAAATCTACCTTCATCATTAACTTGCATTCATCTCAATTTGTAACCTAAACAAATCATTCAAAATCTACATTTATCATTAACTTGCATTCATCCTACATTCATCATTCCTAACCCAAATTAAAAAATAATAATAATAATAATAATAATTCTTCATTAACTTACATTCATCCAAAATGTAAAAAATAAAAATAAAATTTATTAACTTACATTCACCCAAAACCAAAATGCAATTAAAAAAAGGGGTTTTTTTGAACGGTCAAATTTAAATTTTTTTTTTTTTTTTTTAAAAAAAAAGATGGTCAAAAAAAAAAAAAAAAAAGAGTTTTATGCGGGCAGGTTGGGCGGGTGCGGGTCAAACTCGCAATCCGAAAATTAGATAAAATCCAAACCGTACCCTACCCTAATATGTTTGTGAAACCGCCCATATATACGCAGTTCGGATCGGGTAAGGCGGTTTGGGCGGATTGGATGACCTAATGCCCAACCCTAATTCTAACAGGCTGTGTAATACACACGAGAACTGTGCAATTAGTCATGGAAAAATGATTTTCCATCCGAATAAAATGACTAAAATGCCCTCATCTTCATCACCAACTTCCAAAGCAGCCTTTCTTCTTCATTTTTCAAAATCCAATCCAAATCTAAAAATCTATATCCAAAAAAAAAAAAAAGAGTAAAATTACAAACTCTCACCAATAGCTCTCGATAATCAAACCACTCTCGGTGAAATTAATCAATTACAAATGTTTAAGTTTGATCATATCAATTGGTGTTAAATTATGTCAAGTAAATAAAAAAGGAAAACAAAATTTGTATCACCAACTCTAAGGTACATATATATATATATATAAACTTGCAAATTGTATCACAAACATATATATGCACAATGAATAATATATATATATATATATATAATCTGTATATATATGTATATTTATAACTTGTAAATGTATATATCTATTATCCAGTCATTCAATATTCTACAAATCAATTTAAAATCTAAATATTAAATTCCTAAAATCAATCACAACAATGGATGTCTCCTTTTTTTCTCGTCCAAGACATTGTCATTTTGATTGTCTTCATACACATTGTATATCACCTCTAATGGTGCTCGCACATCCCATTCGACAAACGATTCGGGGTAAAACGGGTTCGGATCCAAACCCATTTCTATTTTGAACTTAGAATTTGATTTGATCGAGACCCATTTGCGATCTTCGACTGTCGAATCATGATGATGATGGGTTTGTTCTGGTTTGGTGGAATTTCATATATCAAAATCCTAAGTTCTCTCTATTGTTTTTCTCAAATGCACAACTGTTGAAGAACAAATGTTAAACAAAGGTTATATATACAAGGGCAAAATAGTCCTTTTACTTCTGATGTTAATGGTGTTAATTGTGTACTTCACTCCATCAACCACAGGGAGGTTATGTGATGATATTCGAATATCAAAGGGGTGATCCGCATATAGCCTATACCATAAGGGGTAAAGTAAAGTTTGCCCTTAAAACTAATATTTTTGAGATACTTGTCAGCTTCTTAAGTTATATACATAGCAAAAATGAATCTATATCTATACTATATATTAAGCAAAAGTGGGTTTTTAACCCAAAGTCTTGTGGGAGCTCCAATATCCCAATCTAAATTTCTTGATTTTTTGATTTTTAAAAAAAAAAAAATCTTAGCATTTATTAACTTCTTCCAACCTCCAAATCTTACCCTTATAATAACACTTTAATGCATTAATAACAAGCATAAAAAAATTCTTTGAAATCCAACACATATGAATTCCTTGAAAAGTCCCAACACATATGATTATTATCCCTCATAATAACACTTTAATGCATTAAGAATAAGCATAAAAAAAATTTCTTGAAAAGTCCAATATATATGATTATTATCAAAATATTAAACTTTAATATAATATAATAAATAAATAAAAGACATTTAATTTTTTAAAAAGTCTAACACATGATTATTATTAAAATATTAAACTTTAATATAATATAAAAAAAGAAAAAAAGAAGGCATTTAAAAAAAATATTTAAAAATCACAATTTACATATATAGATAATTGTAAATACAATCCGTGCATAGCACGGGTGATATGCTAGTAAGAATTTAAACAAAAAGACCAAATTAAAACTAAAATTAAAGTGTATGAATTAAATTATTTAATTTGAGACAACATAGACAACCATGACAACGACGACAACAACAACCAAAAAAAAAAAAACAAATTATAAAAGTAAAAAGTATAATTTAACAAGGAGAAAAAAAGTTAGAATTTGGGATCCAAGGAGATGACATTTGTAGCCTTGGGCTAAGGGCACACCTATCTAGTGGGTTTGGTTTCAATTTTTTGAATTTAATATTTTAAAAATTAAGTTTTTAATTTTTTTAATTTTTTTTATTTTTAGTGAATGTTTTTAAAATTTTAAGTAATTTTTTTACTTTTTTAAATACACCTTACTTAGATGTATCTAAAAAGTAAAATATTTATGAAAAAATATTTTAAAAAATTAATAAATACACAACAATAAAAAAAATATACTGAATTTTCTTTTTTTTTGGTATTTAGTGAATTTTTTAAAGATGTTTTTCACAAAAATTATACTTTTAAGTATATTTATATTAGGTGTGTGTAAAAATTTAAAAAATTGCTTAAAATATTAAACAAATTCAGTGAAAATAAAAAAATAAAATTTTCTAAAAAATGAATTTTGAAAACCAAAACCAAGCAGATTGATTATTCCTAGCATTACTTGAAAAATAATTGATAAGTGAATTTTTTTTTACACAAATATAAGTTATTAATTAGTTAGTAGCCAGATTATTTGGTTTGGATTTTCAGAATTCATCTTTTAGAAAATTGAAATTTTTTGTTTTCTGTGTTTTTTTTTTTTTGTTTTTACTGATTTTTTTTAAAAAGTATAATATTTATGAAAAAAATCTTTAGAAAATTCACTAAATACCAAAAATGTTTTAAAAAAATACAAAAATTTAGTACATTTTTCTTATTATTGTGTATTTATTGATTTTTTAAAATATTTTTTTATAAATATTTTACTTTTTAAAGTATTTAAAAAAGTAAAAAAACTGTTTAAAATTTAAAAAATATTCACTAAAAACAAAAAAAAATACGAAAAACAAAAAAATCAATTTCTAGAAAAGTGAATTCAATAAATTAAAACCAAACACACTGATTATTATCCAGGCAAACCACTTGCGCCATAGCCCGTTTATAACAAGTAAAATTAATCAAAGTGGTATTGAATTTTTTTTTTTCTTTACGAGTGTAATCTATTATCAATGTTTTGAAACTTAAGATCTCTCCATTTTAAAATCTCAATCTCTAATGTTTTAAAACATTCAGTCATTAGTTTATGTGAGAATTTCAAGAAATAATCTAACTATTGTTAATGTTTTGGAAAATTGGAGATAGAAATTCTTGCACTATGTTTTGATAGCTATCTCCAATCTGATTTTTTCTACTTCCAATTCACATTCAATTGAAAAATGTAATTATATTATGAGGTGCAACAAAATATATAATGACAGAGTTAACAACCGATTTTGAAATTGTTTTATGCATCCCAATTCATTTACCAAAGAGTTATGTTAACCAATTTTGTATCACTAAGAAAAAATAAATAATAAAAAAAATAGAAACTTAAATTAATAAGCAACTAAAAAAAACAGTTGTGTTTACTAATTATCACAAACAAAATTCTTTGTTTGCTCAGAAGATCGAAGGTTAGACTTCTAACATGATTTATGTCAAAACAACAAACCAAAGGAGAATAGGTTCATACAATGTGATGGCTATCATAGATGGAATGCCTTCGAGGTATTTGAGATTACAGTTCAGTACACATTATAATTACCCAAAACAAAATTTTTTGATAAACCCAAAATTCCTAACCTACAAAATACAGTGATCAAACTTATAACTGCCTAAAAGCTCGTGTCCGCTCACCTTACTCATTCATTGCTCCTAATTGCTGATTCCTTCTGGTTCATCATCATGTCTTGGAACTGCAAACGCTTGGCAACCCTAATATCAAGTATGCTCTGTGGCATTGGTTTGAGGGATCCGTGTAACTCAACTAGGTGAAAGAATTCTTGTTTGGAGAGACTTTTCTTCTGAACAAGTTCATTGACCACAGCATCCATGAGTTCTCGGTTTTGCTGCAGGATCTGATATTCGAAAACAATAGTCATGTAAATGAAATTTTCTAAAGTCACACCAGTTATTGACATTTCCATGTAATAATGTGATACCTCTTTTGCGCGCTCATAACACATGTTTAAGATCCGCAATGCCTCCTCATCGATGCCCTAATGATTGAAATTTACATAACACAAAATTAGCAGGTGTGCATGCATAGCCAAATTTCACAACAGGAAGTGTCTTTTAAATTGATTTGTTTTGCAAGAGTAATAAATTTTATTGTTATTGCAATTACTATTACTATTTTTTTTTTTTTTGGAACCATTTCGTGAATTTGTCTAATTTCAACCTTTTGGGGACGACACTCAAACCAAACTTTTATAGGTTTGATTATATGCACTGCATGTCCCCTACAATCTTTATGGGGAAATTTTTTTTTAAAATTTCACAGGCCGTACACATTTTTACCACTTTTTGCTTCTCCCGTTTATTATGACATGTTCAAAGTGAATCAGAAGAAGAAAGTTGAGGGCAAAGTAGCTTATAAAGAACCTTCAATTTGCCAAAACAAACACTTAAAGCCTTGTATAAAAGTTGGAAGTATAAAGTACATTTCCTTACATTTATTCGATCTGCAACCCAGAAGTTAGATAACCCGTAATGTTTCTCAGAAAGGCCACCAAGAACAAAAGTCCGTGCTGCTGACCTGGCATTGTCTGCTGTTTCTGCCCATATCGTACTCAACTGGAAAATTCAATGCATTAGCTACAGGTGATTTCAAATACAGGTGGTAAATAGAAAATTTTAATTTTCTCTGTCAAAAGCTCTGTTATTAGAATCGTACGATTCGATTCGATTCAGTAGGTAATCGATTCGAACAGGTTGTGTGAATCGCAAATAGCTGTGAATCGGTGAATCGAATCGGTGATTCGGTGAATCGGTGAATCGAATCGATGAATTGTGAATCAATTCAATTTGCTAAAATCGATATTTGGCTTTCTTTTTTGAGTTTTTATTGTTAGAAAAGGGTTCATACAACCTTTTTAAGGTCTCTAGGATTACTATATGTCATCTTTTGACTTTCTCTTCCTCCCTATTTACTCTCAAATACTCAAACTTTAGCGGAAAAAAGAAGAAGAAGAACTTTCTCTCTCTACAATATTCTAGACTTACATATTCAATTTTATCTAAATACTTGCATTTACAAAATGAATTTTTTGAAGGCATCAAGTGAGATTTTTGAAAAAGTCAGAAGATTTTGGTTTTTTAACCTTATAAAAAGTTAAAAACATTGTTTTTGAGTTATTGTGACTTGGAAATTGAAAGTTTTTCTTCGTTTGCTTTCTTCATTAAGAACGGTTGATAATAAATAGTACCCAAAAGGGAAAAAGGTGAAGTGGTAAACATTGGAATCAATGTTAACTTCTTAAATTTCTTACTTAGACCACATGATCATCATTTAAAACAATATTTTTGGTGATTTGTATCTAAATATTTCATATTTATTAGATATATTTAATATCTAAGTGTGTAGATATATTTTCTATATAATTAAAAAAGGTTGACCGAATCTTTACGATTCACGATTCGATTCGATTTGATTCGCGATTCGGTACAATACCATTTCGATTCACGATTCGAATCCTGATTTGACAACTATGGTCAAAAGAATTTTCCTCATCATGTCTAGCAAATGAGGGATCAGGGAAGAGAAAGAGAACAAGTGAACCAATAAAGCAACTGGTCAAATTAAACGGATAGTTTAAACCCTGATCAAATTGAACTCTCAAAGACATCAACCAATACAGCCATGAATACAGTGCTAAACCTCTCATAACACAATAAAAAGAGACCGCCAAATTTACTTTAACTCACTTTGATAGTCATTAAGAAAAACTACTCAATTTCTGCAAATGTGCAAGTCATATATTGTTTTCCCAATTGAATAATTAAGATGAATATCATACTAAATAACAACTCTTCAAACTAGTTTGCAGCCTTGCAGGGTAATATGGTTGTCCACAGTTTTAACATCTACTGACAAAAGCTAAAATTGATTTCTCAGTGTCTGTAAGAAATGACTATCACATTTGCCATCTAAAGGGTTTAACACTGAAAAAATATAAAGCATTGGGCTTTCATCTACCAGACTACCAGCTTATATTGTACCAACAATCTCTGTCAAACCATTCTGAAAGAAATTTATGTATTTATGAGTGAAATGTTTGGTAAGGTTTTCGTACCTGGCTCTCACCATACCAAATCTCATCAGCTGCACGGGGTGCTAGTTGAACAGTGATGTGATCCAAGAGGGATTGCCGGCTGCATGAAAATTAGAGGCAAAATGAAAGTTGAAGTAGATGTCATTTTCTTAGGTGGCTTCCAAAAAGCTAGAATGCAGTAAAGATAATTACATAATTAAAGATATAAACCCTAATTTCAAAGTAGGTTTTTTCTCACCACAATGCATTACTATATTAGTCATGAAAATATGTTATTTCCATATTAGGATTAGTGACTGTAATCTGTATTCATAACCTATGACAATATTTCAAAGGAAAGAATTAAAAATAATAATTAAGGACAGAGAGAGTCATCGATGCCCTAATGATTGAAATTTACATAACACAAAATTAGCAGGTGTGCATGCATAGCCAAATTTCACAACAGGAAGTGTCTTTTAAATTGATTTGTTTTGCAAGAGTAATAAATTTTATTGTTATTGCAATTACTATTACTATTTTTTTTTTTTTTGGAACCATTTCGTGAATTTGTCTAATTTCAACCTTTTGGGGACGACACTCAAACCAAACTTTTATAGGTTTGATTATATGCACTGCATGTCCCCTACAATCTTTATGGGGAAATTTTTTTTTTAAATTTCACAGGCCGTACACATTTTTGGGTTTTTATCACTGAAAATTCTCTGGATTTTAGTGGTTAAAAGGCCACGAAAAGTTGTTTTGAACGGCCTTGGAAGATGGCTCAAAAGGCCATACAAGCCAAGGAGCAAAAGGGAGGACAACCCCTTAGCCAACCAAGGCACAAACCAAGACTTTTAGGACTGAAAAACAGAGAAAAAATAGAGGTTTTTTTAGTTCAACACCACCCCCAAAAACAGCCCCAAAACAATGGAAAAAGGGTGGTGAAGCAAGTATGCAAAACAAATACAAAAGAGGAGAGTTATACATCTTGATGCACAGCAGCAAAACAGCCTCTTTGTTGGCTCAAATGACCTTTCAACAGCCCAAAAATAAGCTCCAAGGGACCTCAGCCCAAAGATATGCAACTTTGGTGAAGGATGCCTAGGCAAACTAGAAGTATTTCTCTACTTCCATGCACTTCTATGCACAAAAGGGCAAGAGAGAGAGGCTCTAGAGAGAAAGGCAGAGATTGTGCTCTGGAAGTTTTGTAGAGAGAGAGGGAGTTTAGTGATAGAAGCTCTCAAACTTGCTTAAGAAGTTCTAACCCCTTGAATATGAGATATAAGGCTCTCATATATAGCAAAATATCAACTTGGGTCGAAAATATCTGATTTGGGACAGCTGGAGCAAGCTAGAAACAGCTGAAGGAGAAATATCTGCAAAAAATCTGAGTTTTGGACACTTCTGGCCGACCAGCCATCTTTGGTGCCGACCGGCCACCATTTTTGGTCGATGAGGTTCATTTTTGGCCGACCTATGGCCGATGAGCTCCAATTGTGGCCGATGTACTCCCATAGAGGCTGATGGAAAAAATCAGTCCTGGTCCCTAACTTGAAGCAAGCCTACCTCCTTCATCTGAACTCCTTTTCAGGTCATTCTTGAGCCTAAATTGTAGCCTGGAAGTCTTCTTTCCAATTATGGAAGCCTCACATCAAAATTCCATGTGTGCTAAGAGATATCCCTCTTTTAGTGAAACCTGCTCAGTTTCGGTCTAACCGGAATGATGCCCAACTTCAACCAATCATATCTCCCCCACCCGGACTCGGCTTTAGGAGATTCTTGAGTGCAAAATGAAGCCCCGGAAGTCTTATTTCCAACGGTGATGGCCCCATAGCTGAAATCCAAGTGTGCAAACGGATAGGCCTGATTTAGCGAGAACTGCTCGACTCTCTTTTAGCGATTCATGCCCATCTTCTTCTTCAACTTGGTTTCTTCTCTCCTCTCCTCTTTTCTTCAACTCCAAACCCCTAAACAAGGTGTTTTGAAAGATTTTTAAAGATTTCATCTCTCTTTCATTCATTTCCACCTTATCCTTACTCGGTTTATCGAAAAGCGCAACAATTGACAAAATGTGAGCCTCGGAACATCGTATAAACTTCTTTTCAAAAATATTTTGAAAGAAAGGGTTTCAAGGTCTAAAATCTTTTGATAAAGATTGTTTTGGTCCAAAAGGGGTATGAAGTTGGGATTTGACTCTCTCCTTACCGAAGAAATTGAACATTTGCCCTACACACCTTTCACTACCAAGTAAACCATCAGTAGCGCCCAAGTCTTAAGGGCGGTCAAAAATAGGGTGCCTATAGAGTGTTACACTAAGGAGTTCTTTTTAGAGTGTTACATTAGAGTGTTACATTAGAGTGTTACTTTTGGAAAAAGCATAGGTAGGAATTTTTTGGGAGTGTTATATTGGAGTATTACAGATTGAAATTATATATTTGTTCAAAGTTCATTAAGGAGTTTTTGTACTCCTTTTGAAATATTTGAAGAATCCCACATCATTTTGGAATGTTTGAAAAATCACATATTTCAAGTCATTTTTGTACTCATTTTAAAATGTTTGAAAAATCTTATATTTCAATTCATTCCAAATAAAAAAGATTCTCATATAAAAATTCATCTCAAAGGTTGTGTATTACCTTTCTAGCACAAAAGAAAAATAAAAAATAAAAAAAGAAAACATAATAGAAATAAAGGTATAACCGTAAATCTAATTTTTAAATAATATATTAAAGCTAACTTTTCAAAATCAGTGAAATTAATTGATTTATAAAAAAAAAATTATTAAAACTAATTGGATCACTATTTTTCAATATCATATTTATAAGTAAATTTTCTTAATTTGGGAAAGGCTAAAAATTGAATTTTTAAGTTAAAATTCATAAAAAGACAAAATAGATTAAAATAGTCAGTATGACAAAATGTCACATCAAACTTATAATCATTTCACTTTTTTTCTCACAAAAATCGCATCCAATTATAAAAAAAAAAAAATTAACCATCTTCACAAATACAAAAATTTTAATCTAATAAAATAGCTAAAAATTAAAATAACTTATTAAAATAATCAACTTCCTAAACAAGGCCAAGTAAAAGCTATTTTCTAGTAAAAGCGGTGAAAAACTAAGGCTGTGTTTGGTTGTGATTTGAAATCACAATTTCACACCTTAATTCAAGCATGGTGTTTGGTTGTGATTCTCAAATGATGTTTTGAGAACTCTACACAGAACACCTGGGTTGATTTATATAATGAAATACGTGTTTTTCTTTTTGTTGGGGGAAAATCTTGCGTGGCGGGACGTCTGGCCGGTCGTCCGGCGGGTTGACCGGCCAGCTGTCCGGAACAGTAATTTTTTTTTTTTTGGCAATTGATTTATATAATCGAAAAAAATATTTTCTGAAATTTTTAAAATTTTTAAAATTTTTTTTGTGCTTTAAAATAATTTTGAGTTGTATATTTAGTTATGAGTTGTAAATTTTTGTATCACATATCAAATGTCACATCAATAATTCTCCACTCAAATCAAACATCTTTTCCAAAACTATTTTCAAAACTCTTTACCAAACAAATTTTCTACACTCAAATCATAATTCCACAACACAAAAACTCAAAATACAACTCATACTCTCAAATCACATTTACAAAACACAACCAAACGCTACCTTAATTTTCTCTGTCAAAAGAATTTTCCTCATCAAGTCTAGCAAATGAGGGATCAGGGAAGAGAGAAGGAGAACAAGTGAACCAATTAAGCAACTGGTCAAATTAAACGGATAGTTTAAACCCTGATCAAATTGAACTCTCAAAGACATCAACCAATACAGCCATGAATACAGTGATAAACCTCTCATAACACAATAAAAAGAAACTGCCAAATTTACTTTAACTCACTTTGATAGTCATTAAGAAAAACTACTCAATTTCTGCAAATGTGCAAGTCATATATTGTTTTCCCAATTGAATAATTAAGATGAATATCATACTAAATAACAACTCTTCAAACTAGTTTGCAGCCTTGCAGGGTAATATGGTTGTCCACAGTTTTAACATCTACTGACAAAAGCTAAAATTGATTTCTCACTGTCTGTAAGAAATGACTATCACATTTGCCATCTAAAGGGTTTAACACTGAAAAAATACAAAGCATTGGGCTTTCATCTACCAGACTACCACCTTATATTGTACCAACAATCTCTGTCAAACCATTCTGAAAGAAAATGTTTGGTAAGGTTTTCGTACCTGGCTCTCACCATACCAAATCTCATCAGCTGCACGGGGTGCTAGTTGAACAGTGATGTGATCCAAGAGGGATTGCCGACTGCATGAAAATTAGAGGCAAAATGAAAGTTGAAGTAGATGTCATTTTGTTAGGTGGCTTCCAAAAAGCTAGAATGCAGTAAAGATAATTACATAATTAAAGAAATAAACCCTAATTTCAAAGTAGGTTTTTTCTCACCACAATGCATTACTATATTAGTCATGAAAATATGTTATTTCCATATTAGGATTAGTGACTGTAATCTGTATTCATAACCTATGACAATATTTCAAAGGAAAGAATTAAAAATAATAATTAAGGACAGAGAGAGGTGTCGATGCCCTAATGATTGAAATTTACATAACACAAAATTAGGAGGAGCTGCCTGCGAATTCCTGCCTTAAATCTGACGTGATCCATTTTCATACGGACATAACCCAAGTCTCTGCCAGCTCTAGGAGAAATATTAACCTACTCAAAGCAATAAAGCATCAAAAAATCAAACGTCAGTGTAACTGTATAGAAATTGCTATAAAAAAAATCAATAAAACTAATAAGCAAAGAGAAACTACACAGGTAAAATAAATTTGCATGAAGCCAAACTAATAAGCAAAGAGAAACTACACAGGTAAAATAAATTTGCATGAAGCCTTTTGAATAGCGTATACAACTCCTCTCTAGACACATGTCATAGATATGTAAGCAGTACATGTGCCTTATGTTAGCCTCCGACGGAAGAGTGTATGGTCCACTTGTTCAGTGTTACTGCTACTCCTACTAGCCCACACTGTGCAACCAACATTGTGTGACACCCACAAAAAATTCAATTGGTTGTTTCAAGGCATTGAATGGAACAATAAATTGAACAAGGAACAAAGATGTTTCTCAAAATCATGTAATCTCCACCCACGTAATGATTTTAGATTCATTTTGGGCTTGTACCTTCAACTCTAATGAAAATGCCACCAAAAAAAAAAAAAATAGATGGTTGATGTAGGACCAGAAAAGAGACGGAGAAAAAAAGAAATGCCTAGAGAAAGAAAAGAAAGCAAAGAGGAGAATCTGTTGAGGGGAAATAGAGATATACCAAATCCTTAATTCTCAATTATGCACACACACACACCCACACAAAAAACAAAAAAAAAAGAAGTAATATTTCAATACATCCCATCCATATATATAGAAATATGCGCTGTCTAATTAGGAAAGAAAAAGGAAAATAGGAAATTGTCTAATAAGGAAACAAAAAGGAAAATAAAAATATATTACAATTAGAACTATAGTTCCCAAGTAAACTAACATTCCAATTCCTCAATTTATCCTTCATGCAATGCCTTTTAGATCGCCATCAATGGTTAATCTCTAGAAATCCTTAGATAAATTAGAGGTATAACCATATAAGAGCTTCCCTTTGAGGCATGATTGCATCTAATCTATGTCCTTCATTCACTAAAGATTGAAAATATGAGTATAAATGGAGACTAATACCAACACAACCAAACTTAGCAAAGCCTACTAACGCCTTTACTAAACAAATCATGTTTTACCATTCTGATCAATCTATGACCATATCCTCAATCTAATGACAGGGCATCAGCAATTGCTTATAGCCTCAGCCCTTGTCTGTTCCATGTGTCCTTATGCTCAAATCGCCATCACCTTGAACCATATCCCTCATGAATCATTCCAGTCATTGGTTTTAGAGGACATTTTCTTTCCTATTTTTGAACTGACAGATATATTTGCACTTCGCTGATTAATATATAATAATTGCAGTCATCTCAATCTAATTTTGAAAAAGAACCATCGCTACTAGCTCAACTAATGTGAAATATCAGCAAGAAGTGTTGGAGGTTCTTAATCTCCACAAATCAGAGACACTGCAATATTTGTGATGCATCACAATGTTTGCATAATATCACACACAAAAAAAATACCAAAGTAATGTTTGGTAGAGTTTTCTAAATATGATTTGAGAATAAGAGTTATATTTTGAGTTTGTGAGTTTTGGAATTATAATTTGAGTGTAGAAAATTTGTTTGGTGAAAGAGTTTTGAAAAAAGTTTTGAAAAGAGTTTTGAATTGAGTAAGGAATTTTTGATGTGACATATGATATCTGATACAAAAACTTACAATTCATAACCAAACACACAACTCAAAAATCTATTAAAAGCTCAAAAAAAATTTAAAAAATTTAAAAAATATTGTTTTATTATTAAAAAAAAAAAAGAAAAGAAAAATCGCACTGTTTAGGTCAACCGGCCAGACGACCGGTAGGCCAAATTTGAAAATTTAAAAGCTCGTCTGGAACGAGTTTTCAAAAGGAGGGGTGGAATTCATTTTCCAAAAATCAAACCAAACATCATACTAGAATGTAGGGGTAGAACTATGATCCCAAAATCCTTCCAAACACAGCCCAATTTTTTTTTTTTTTTGGATGCTTTGGAAATAAAAGTAGCTACAATAAGATCAAAACAAAACAAAAAACAAAAAAAGAGTTAGACAACTATTCTCAAATTTTTACAGACTAACATATTTCAGGCAATTTTGGAAGAACTAGATGCTCCTTTCAACAAATGTTGATATAACAAGAAATCAAGTGCACAGAAATACATTAATTTACTGCATAGAGTGGGCCGCTCTATAAGTTTAACAGCTATTTTTTTTATAAAAAAAAACAAGCTATTCATTGATTTTTCACCATTGAAACTTAACAATGTTATGTAAATCACTACATGTTAACAAACAACTAAATATTTTTTTCATAACAAAATATTGTTTTTTTCTTACTAAAAGAAAGAAACACCTTGTACCAAAAATACACCATAAGCTAATAATAGTGTTGTCACCAGCTGGAGAGACAAGATGATCACCACCCCAGTGAAGTATGGGTTACAACTTACCTACTATGCATGGTACTACAGTTATTTTCTGGAAACAGTCTCTAAATATTTATTTGAAAATTAATGGATTTGTTTAACATCGTATAGTGCCTATATATATGGTACACATTCTTTCTGTAACAATTTAAGTACTTTATAAGTGTCCATTCTTCTCATCACATGTTTACAACGCATCCTGAAATTTCTCCCGACAACAGCTCATAGAATCTTTCCCCTCTTTTTTTTTTTTTTTTTTGCAGGCATACTTTAAAAAAATAGAAACGTGCATCTAGAACCATTAAAAAAAAGGTGATAATTCTCCACAACTGCCCAATCTTGTTAAAAACAAATTAAAAAATAAAAACATTTTACCTCCCATGATTAGGCCCAAAACATATAAAATATATACGTACTCAAACTAATGTGATGCAGGCATACTTTAAAAAAATAGAAACGTGCATCTAGAACCATTAAAAAAAAGGTGATAATTCTCCACAACTGCCCAATCTTGTTAAAAACAAATTAAAAAATAAAAACATTTTACCTCCCATGATTAGGCCCAAAACATATAAAATATATACGTACTCAAACTAATGTGATGCAGGCATACTTTAAAAAAATAGAAACGTGCATCTAGAACCATTAAAAAAAAGGTGATAATTCTCCACAACTGCCCAATCTTGTTAAAAACAAATTAAAAAATAAAAACATTTTACCTCCCATGATTAGGCCCAAAACATATAAAATATATATGTACTACACCAATGTGATGCAGGCATACATTAAAAATGGCAAGATGCATCTAGCACCGTTAAAAAGAGTGATAATTCTCAACAACTGCAATATTAGTGTTAAACAAGGTGTCAACAAGGTTAGACTCAAAGTTCCACAGCACCAATTATATAAGTCAAACATCACAAAGAAATTTAAGGCGCAAAAGACTACTTCAGGAAACAAGAAAAAGATGCATATAGCTACATATAACTACAAAACCATGAATACAAGTGTCCATATGAGAGCAAAGAGTTGAGTGTAAGGATTATACAAACTCAATATTCTTGAGATCTGGAAAGTTCACAGCTACTACAGCCATTGCTGCTTCATTAATAGCTACTCGCTTCCACATCTCAGGGCTCCTCTCCTTTCTATCGAGGAATCCTCTTTCTTCTATTTGTGCAGCTTGCAACAAGTCATCAGTTGTAATCTGTACAAGTGAAACAAATTTTTTGAATACCTAATTGAGTAACCAGAAGGACAGCCATTCCAGCTGGAGGTCATGTTGTTGGCATAAAGAAATAAACCAAACGTGAATACATCTATTGAAATTGTGGTAGAAACTTTGCACAACAATCTTCAGTGGGCACTTTTTTGTTTTATCATATATTTGCAAATATCTTCCAGTTTAATAACTCAACTTCTTTCTTTTTTTGTTTGCAACTCATCATCTGAATGCCACTGATTCATGTTTGATAGTGTGTACCATATTATATTACACATGCATGCATTTGAGATACGCGTTGACTTTGTATAACACTGTAAGATATATCACACCATCAACAACAATCAACTAACATGATAATCAACTATACACGATAGTCAAGATCATATATATTAGGACATATAATAATACCCAAGTTATCATAATAACTAAAAAAATAATAGCCAAGGTATTATGAATTCCAAGTATGGAAAGACAACATAACAGGTAAAGGTAACCATGAGAGGCTATGGTGGAAATCCTCCACATGATGCTGCTCAATATGCATACATTAATATGGAAATGCAATATGTGCATACATATACATGTGTAAATATACACAAACATATACATACATTGCATAATAATCAACAGTAAACCACACCCAAAATTCTCAATGCAGAAAGTAAAATAAAAATTGAAATATCATTATCTCCAAATCTGGCATTTTAAAAGGTAGTCACAGGAGGTGATGGGGGACTGTCGATATGATACATATACATCACTAGATATTCTGAAAAACAGCCCTTTTTAGTGGGTTTGACTCCAACTTTCTATATGGTATTCCATCTGCTTTTAATATCTCCTGTGCTTTGTAGGATTTTTAAGGCTAATTCGAGTTCCTATGAACTATTTTTCAGCGGTGAATTCAGCTTCCTAACTTTTTTGTAAAAAAAACACGAAAAACTGAGAAATGATACATGGAAGTTCAATATATGCACAAATACTACCTCATTTCTTCCATCACGCATCATATTGATAGCAGCAATCTCAATTATGTTGGCTAGCTCTGCACCAACCATTCCATCAGTCATACTGGCAACAGCCATATAGTCCACATCCTCAGCCATTGGCTTCTTACGAGCATGGACCTAACACAAGAAAAGAGAAAAAAAACAGATGATAAATACAGAAGCTGGTGCTTATAACCACAAGAAATATTAAAAAGAAATCTAACAGTCTTGCAATGGAACTGAATAGCAGAGCATGTGCATATACTGATAATACATCAGAAGAACCTGACCTTCAAAATTTCCATGCGACCTATTACCCCAGGTTTAGGAATATATATTTTTCGATCAAACCGTCCTGGTCTGACAAGTGCTGGATCTAGAATGTCTGGTCTATTTGTTGAAGCAATAGTGATCACTTCTCCTCTTCCTTCAAACCCATCCAAGCACACAAGAAGCTAATACACACAGCAAACTCAAATGTTAACATCAGCCCACATATAAATCAGCCAAAAGCAGCATCATTAGATCAAATTCAAAGAGAAGCAATAAGCACAAGCCAACCTGATTGAGAGTAGCATCACGCTCTTGTCCACCAGAACCCTTAATTAAACCACGTTCCCTTCCAACAGCATCCAATTCATCAATGAAGACAACAGATGGAGCCTATTTCAAACCGACATAACAAAACTTACATGTCAAAAATTATCACAACATATTCAGAACCTGAGACAGTTAACCAAACTAATGAAAAGGAGAAAGACATTGGGTGAATCAATGATGATACTGGAAATCTGAGTCAGAAAACATCACACATCATGCCATCATATAGAAAACTTTTTTCAGAATGCATGACGAAAGAAAAGAAACTGCTACAAAGATGCTAAAAAGAATGATTACATTTTCCTTTGCTTCTTGGTAGAGTGCTCGAACACGAGAAGCACCAACTCCAACATATATTTCCACAAACTGTGAAGCAGAAATGGAGAAGAAATTTACACCTGCCTCACCAGCCACAGCTTTTGCCAATAAAGTCTTCCCCACCCCAGGGGGACCACAAAGAAGTATACCACCTGATATAGCAACATATCAAAATATAGATATTTCAACACAACATATCAACCCGAAGAAGGATTTCATAGAATTAGTACAAATATATGTTACGAAAAAGTGTTATGTTCTTTTGAAACAATAATAAGAAAAATTGTTGCATTCAACTATGAAGTCAACCATGGCATTGTGATTGTGGTATTCACATCTTAAGGAGATATATAAGAACACATCTAAACAAAGAAACAACGGAAAAAAAAAACCAAAAATCCCAAAATGAGTATTGATGTATGGTTAGTTATGAAATGACAATAAGTATAAATAAAAATAAATGAATGCATTCATGAAAAAACTAGATGTAGCACCTAATAAACTGAATATTAAAAAAATGTGTATCAGCAACTTCAGTCTCAACTTGAAAGGAATAAGTATTTGATACAGATTAAAGCCACTACAAGGTATAAAGACCAAAAGAACATATGAAAGAAAATAAATATGTCTGAAGATTAAGCAAACATAGGCCCTACATAGAGCTGAATGATATGAGAAGTGTACAAACCACTAGAGTTGGCATAAGGCTTTGTTGAATTTGAGTTTAATATATTTGAATTTCAAATTTACAACAGCCAATATATATCATAGGTTGATCCTATGCTTAATTTCTAGATGATGCTACAATAACATGTCCCCTAGCATTGCTCCAAGTGGGAAATGTAGAATTTCCTCAACCATCATCTACACCAAACGGATTACAAGTACAATGCAACCAGAGATGCAGTTTTGATGCCTACCAAAAATAAATGGAACAAGATTCTGAGTTCAAATTACAGTACATGTATATCAAACAAAATTATTAGAGTTCAGAGATGTCAACCTGGAATTTTGACACCCCTCCTCCGGTACATTTCCCCATGCGTGAAAAACTTCACAATCTCCTCAAGCTCAAGCCGTATTTTCCCAAGCCCTGCAACATCCGTGAACTTCACATCTATGCCTCTCTCCAAGTACTGAGGGAGTCTCTTACTATGCGCCCGGCGAACACGAGCACCGGATTTCATGAATTGCGCCATCTTCAAATAAGGATTCTGCTCACCTTTTCCTTCCTCCTCCTCATCTTCTCCACTCTCTATCCCTGCCATTTCCCTCTCTAGCTCCCTCATTTTCTTTCTCTCGTCTGCCTCCGCTTTCTCAATCTTCAATCTATCCTCATAATCCTTTTTCTGTTTCCTATAATTCAACACAACTGTCCGATAAAATATGTAGAAAAACACAAACCCAAGTGCGGTTGCAACATTGGAGTCACTAGCTAAGTTTTCCCACATATTCGCCATGTTCTGATAATTCCTACGCGCTTGTCGCAACGACTCCTCATACTTCACCTTCTTCATCTCACTCTTTCTTTGTCTTTCTTCAATTTTCTTTTGAGCTCTAATAGCCTTCTCCATCATCTGCCTCTCTTGTCTCATCCTAGCCAATTCCTCATTATTAGTCTTTTTCATCTCCTCCCTCATCCTCTTAGCCTCCAACGCTTTCTTCGACAGGGGCTTTGGTTTCAAAAATGAAACCATCCAAACCGGAATCTTTGACAAAAACCCCAAATAAGGAGACGGTAACTCAGGTTTCTTAACGGGCGGAGTATATGCATTGACACAAATTGAATCAATACCCAACTCATCCCAAGAGACCCAAAACTTCTTATCGGTCTCTAATGATGGCAACACTATCCTCAAAACACTAGAATCTTCTAAAACCGCTAAAACCACCCCCGGCCGCTGCTTTAAACCTACGGCCGGGGGTTTAATTATATGCTTAAGCTTTCCCTCTCGTTTCAAATTCAATATTTCCGAATAGGGCATCCGATTGGACACCACGGGGAGTCCTTGTGACCATGATTTCAATTCTTCAGGCGATAAAGCTTCGGTCTTCTTCGCCGAACGCTTTCTTTCGGATACTTTCGCTGCTATGGAGGGTTGTGGCAGTGAAGCTGAGATTACTGTGAGGGTCACAGAGAGTTTGAGTATATCTAAGTGAATTTTTTTTGGTTTTGATTCGTTTTCAGTTTCAGAGCTCTCTAATCGGCAAGTAATTGATCCGTAAAAGTGAAGTGGGTGTTTGATTGATCTTCGAGTTCTTGGAAGATGAAGAAAAGGAAGAGATGGAAAGAATGGAGTACCTAAAGCGCAGTGACAGGCCATGGGATTGTGCAGAGGAATTGGAGAGCAGGTTTAAGAGTGTTTACATTGTGTAATGTATGGAATTGAGATAAATAGGAGCATCATTGAATCGCCATTGAAATTGCGACATGCATCATTTGGGTTTAGAAAGAGGTGAATTAGGGTTTCGAATGTTAGCCCTAATTCCGACTGATCAACACGAGAGAGAGAGAGAGAGAGAGAGAGAGAGGAGCTCTATGGATATGGCGACTACAGATGAAGAGAGGGAAAGGGGAGCGATTTGCAGGAAAATGTAAATTTACAGAATCGTCCTCCTTAGCATCGTATGCTTTCTGCTAATACGCTGTGAACGAGTTGAGGATGAAGTCATTTAAGCTGAACTTAAAATTTTTATAAATTTTAAAATATTTTTAAATTTGATTTAATAATATTTCCAACTAACAATTTTAATTGAGCTAATCACAATCTAAACTTGAGTAAGGTTTTTATAAATGCAAATAGTTGCATATGTTGAACATGCCTGCATTGTGAAAAACGTGAAGGAGGAAGTGAGGCGAAAATTAGGGACTTAATACATTTTAGTGATGTCAGTGACAAATAACTATAAATGGGTGAGAAATAATATAAATATTATAAAATTTTTCACTAATGTTTAATCATTTTTCAAAAACTATCCTAAATAGTAATTTCCCGTAAAATCAACATCGAATTGATAAATATGATTGGTGCATTGTCACTAGGGAAATGGCACATGCTTTGTAACCTATTTGACAATTTCTTGAAAGAATGATCATCAAAAAGGGTGTAAGGGAAAGTTTAGTATCGAACTGAGCTTTTTGATTTCGGTTTTATTGATTGAGAAACCGAAATGGACTATATACTATAGTTCGATTTTATTGTTTTCAAATTGATTTAGAGAAGGGATTTTAAAGGGTTATATATAAATTAGCGATGATAGTGGCTAGAGTCGTTATGCCAATTGTGGTGGAGGCGAACCGTTGTGGTAGTTGGAATAGTGGTGGTGATAATTGGAGAGGCAACCGTGATGGTTGTGGCCAGGTAGTAAAATGATAATGGTACTTAAGGTGACCATGACATTGGTGATGAAGGTGATGGTACTGATAGTGGTAGTGTTGGTAAAGAAGCAGTGGTTGTGGCAATAGTTGCGACGGTGGCAGTGGTGGCAGTGAGGAAGTTATGAAGGTGCGTGTCGATATTTGTGCATAAATATACATAAACTCAATCAACATTAAGTAAAAATCCTATTATTTAAAATTTTCTCAATTTTTAATTACTAACCGGTCAACCGGCCGGTCGACCACCCGGTTGTCCCGGGATAGATTTGGTGAAGGTGAACCGTTGGAGCCTGACATATCAAATTCAGAAAATGGCCATTTTTGAACTCAGAATTGGTGAAATTTTTGATTCACGGTTGGAGATGCTCTAAACAACCTAAGTTGTTCAAATTTTATTGTAACATTATCTGACAGAAATTTGGCAAAAAAAATAATAATAATATTGTAGGCCTCTCATTATTGAACTGGCTTATTATTAGAGCATCTCCAACGGTGCATTTCTTTTTTCATCAAATCTGAGTAAAAAATGATCCATTTTACCAAATCTGATATCACTCGCTCCAACGGTGAACTTTCATCAAATTTGCGCCGGGACAATCGATTGGTCGACCGGCCAGTCGACCGGTTAAGCGAAATTTTTTTATTTTTTTATTTTTTTTTGAACTTTTTGAACCTTTTAGTGGTCGACCGGCTGGTCAACCGATAAGGCAAATTTTTTTTTTTTTTTTTTACTGTTTGAACCTTTTCTTGGAACTGTTTGAACCTTTTGGCGGTCGACCAATTGGTCAACCGGCCGGGCAACCGGCTGGTTGACCGGTTGGTCTTCCCCAACGGCCACAAACAGTGTTTTGATGAAATCAGTATTCTGTCCTCAGTTTGATGAATTGTTTGGTGAAATCTCATTTTGATATCGATTTGGTGCAACCGTTGGAGCACCAAACAGTAACTTTTTCATCAAATTTTAAATTTGATGTCAACTTTGATGAACCGTTGAAGATGGTCTTAGTAATAAAATTATCAATATTATTCAATTCATTTAATTTAGTTAGGATGCATGCTGTGAGAAAATAATAAAATTTTAAATATTACGAATTCACTTATTTAATTTTTTTACCTTTCATCAATTAGGTTCTCATTTAATTTGAAATTTTATTTTCATTTGAATAAAATAATTACTTTTCTATTTTGATCTATTCAGGAGACACAAAAACTGATGTGTTTGGTTTGAGTTTTCTGAATTAAGATTTTTGAAAATTGAGTATTTTATTTTTCGTATTTTTTTATTTTTAGTTAATATTTTAAAATTTTGAAGGATTTTTTTTTACATTTTTATATGCATCTTAGTTAGATGTGTCTAAAAAATAAAATATTTGTGAAAAAATATTTAAAAAATTAATAAATACACAAAAATATGAAAAATGTGCTGCATATTCATTTTTTTTTTTTTTGTATTTTTGGTTTAGTGAATTTTTAAAATATTTTTTTCACAAAAATTATACTTTTAAAATGTATTTATGTTAAGTATGTCTAAAAATTAAAAAAATTGATTAAAATATTTAAAAAATTCAATAAAAACAAAAAAAAAACAAAAAGCTAGAAAATAGAAAATAGAATTTTCTAAAAAGTGTTTTTAGAAAACTCAAACCAAATATTATTTTCCTTTCAAAATTAAAATTTTGCCAAGGAAATAATATACATTTAAAAGTTTTCTTCAAGGATTGGTTTTAAAATAGAGAACATAAAATCATCGTGTATAAATGTTTGGTATACAATTATATTTGTATAGTATTATTCTTAACCGATTGTTTTTTTGTGTTGACGTTATGTTCAGTGCATCTTATATAGGTGAACATGTTTATAGTCTAAAGACAATCCTTCAAGGGTGTTTGAAAAATTGGTAAAAAGTTAATTTTTGCCTTTTTACCAAGCTTTTTAGTTTTTTGAAAAGTGATTTGGAGTCCTAAAAAAAAAAAGTAATTTGAAAAATTAGTAAAAAGTTAATTTTTTGCTTTTTAATTTAATATTTATTTATGATGTCAAATCAAATTAAAATAATCAAAATACCTTTACCCAACATAAAAAATTTATTTTTTTATTTTTTTTCATAAACCCTAATTTGTAATTTTACACCTGCGTTTTTAACACTTGCCAAACCAATTTTTTAGTATTTTTGACACTTGCGTTTTTAGACAAAATGTTCCCAAAATGGCACTCAATTATCAGAGATTTTGATCATGTACTTATTTTTTATACAGAGAGAAACAGTGAAATTTGAATACAATGCTGTCTTTTCAATTCTCAAAATAGACCAACTACAAAACTGGTTCATTCCAAGCTTTATTTGTGGATGCTGTATAACTATTCACATCTCTTCTACAAAATCAAGTTAGATCTTGTTTCTCAATGATCCTTGAATGTTTCATGAATCGGATAATCTAGATTCAATTTCAATCTCAATCAACTTAGATAATCTAGATTCAAGTTCAATCTACATGTCTTTGATCCTATTGCCTAACGATCGATGTACAACCCACTCTGATCACAAACCAGAAAGGCCATTTTGTTCTTTGCAGAGAACACAGTACCCTAGTTTGCTGAACTTGCTTCCATAAGCAGAGATAATTAACCATTCGGATAATTATGAGATAAAAACAATTCGGACAACACCTAAAACATAGATTCATAAAAGATGAGCGACCCAGTGTAGGATGCGCAGCAAGTCAGTACTTGGATAGCCAAATTACGTCAACAACAGCTGAGGCAGCGAGCAAGAACCAGCTGATGAAAGTGAAGGCTATGGAAACAGCAACACGATTGCAGAAGCTATGCAAGGGCTTACAGAAATTTGGTAGAGCCGAATGTCTGATTCCCGTGCGGTTCAAGTTGGTGACACCTGATGCAGCTGATCCAGCACTCATCATTGCATATGCAAACGCCTGCAACAATATCCGATAAAATCAAGCCCTTGTGCAAAGACACCGGAGAAATAGGAAAAAAGAAATCTCAAGTTGTTCAGTCTTACAAATGCAGCCCCCATTGGTGGCATGCAGAGAAGAAAAGACCCGAAATTTTGGTTTGACTATTGTTCAACAAATTATTGCTTATGCAATTTACTGCTACTCATACACCAAACACCAAATACCAAATACTTAAAAGGGTATGCTATGAATATCGAGAGGGCATTTTTGGAATTTCCTTCATTGGTCGCTCTGCTTGTTTGGAAGTATATAAAATGCCATACTTCGGAAATTATTTTATGTCAAAAAATTTACATGAAAAATTATTTTTTCTATTAATAGCGTTTTGTTAAAATTTTGAAATATTTCTCTGGAAAATAACTTCTTTTTTTTTTTTGAACAAGTAAAAATAACATTTGGTTAACACGTGTTATCGAACAGTTGCCAGACAAGTGCGAGTTGAAGCATACACATAGATTCCAACTGAAAGTGGATGGCCACAGAGGGAAACCGGAAAACTGAAGGAAGATCACCAATCAATTCAAACAAACCAACTCCATATTTTTTTATAAGAAAGAAACAAGTCCCAACAAACATTGATATAGAAATTCATGAAGCCATGGGAAAGTAGTTTCCATCCTTGGGAAGTTGTCACAAACATCAAAAGTGGTTGCTGGTGTTGCTAAAATAGTGATCTTATCAGAGATGCTGCTGTTGGTGTTCAAGTCTAGCTGATATATGGTCATTCCGTACTGTTCCCTTCCCTCATATGCTTTTAGAATATTTTACAGGAAAGATCTTCAGTGATGTTTCATCTGGATTGGACGATTTTTAGAGAAAATAGAGTCTCTCCTCCTAAATCACCCATTTAGATGGCTTAATAGGAGATAAATGGAGAAAAGAGTTCTCCCTTAAAACCCAATCTTTGAATCTCAATTGAAAATTTTGGAGAGAGAATATGGAGTTATTAGTTCCCAGTTTTTATTATTTTTTTTTTTATTATGAGAATTGGTTTTGTTTTTGCCTTTCTTACTCACATTATAAAGTTTTCTTATATTTTCTCTTCTATTTTTTTAATCTTTGCTAAGCGAAAGGAGAGAATAACCAGCTCTCCTTTTTTTTCTTTTTCTTTTTTCATTTCTCTCATGAATTATCCAAGCAAAGAGAGACATCACTGTCTTTTATTGTATTTTCTCTTCTATCCTTTGGTTTCTTCTCTCCTGGTTTGCCAGAGAAAGTGCATCCAAACAATGAAAACTGAAAGTTATTTTTCCGAAAATATTTAACATCCAAACATAACTTTGAAGCCACAAATAAATTTGGATGAGCTAAGTAGGTTAATACATCCCAATTATCACATATAACGTACTTATATATTTAAAGAAAACACTATAAAGCTTAGGGGTAACTGCCACACCTAATTTCATAGATAAATGTCCTTTCTTTGGTATCGTTCCCTATGAATGTAAAAAATAAAGTGTTGCAGGAGAAATCCTCTACCAAATCATTCACTAGGAACTGTATTGGGAACTATATTGTCCTATAAATGTCCTTTTTTGATATATTCTCTTCCTTTTTTCCTTTCCCTCCTCAAATCCTTAATCTAAACACAACCTACATGTAGAGGGTATCTTCTGACACTCTTCCACATACCTCTATTTACAGCTCCATCATAAAAAAGTAAGATAGATAAAAAAACGGAAGTGTCAGGTCATTAGATGATACTGGCATACCACAATCAAGTTCTGTTCCTAGTCTCTTTTTCTAAAACCAGTATGCAGTGTGAAATCTTTGTATGTATTCCTTGTCGCTTGTAAGGAATATGCAATTCACAAAAAGAGTAATGACACGACTGGGAGTGGGGACATAGAATAAAGGTGAACTAAAGGCAATCAAAGATATGAATTAAAGGCAATCTAGATTACCGATCTTTGCAAGGACTAATTACTCTAAAGATCTTAACTTTTGAACAAGGAGAGAAACCACTTTACCTGATCCCCAGCAAAAATAATCCACGCATGATTCCGAGAAGGAATCACTGGAGAATTCCTCAGCAGCCTCAAGATGCTGATGAGCAATTGAAGCAAGGAGTGAGCTGCGACAGCTGCCGAAACTCCAACCAGATACCTGTTTTCAGGCACGAATTTGACAGATTTCAACTCCTTTGTCATTCAAAATACATTTCTATACTATGTAATGTACTCCAACAGCATCAAATATAAAATGTAAACGTAAAAACTGTTTGAAGATTATCACGCCTATTCGATGAACTTCACCTAAGCAACATAAAAAATGACCCACATTCTCAGATCATGAGTAAATATTCAGTACAACTGTTATATCACTTGGGGGTTTCACTAATCAATAAGAAGTATGATTAGATTATATTAGCAAGAAAAAGAATTATCCATTGAATTTCGTTTACAATGTATTTTTAACAGTGACACAATTGCACTCAATATTTGTTCCGAAGTCCCTCAGCAATAGTTTGTACATCTGAGTATCACAAGATAAGCTTAATTCACTCACGGGTGTGAGTTTCTATACGTTGAATTTCGATGAAGTTGGAAATCCCAAGGAGTTCAATTTTGTTCAATCTATCAAAGTACGTATTTTGTTCACTCTTTCAAAGAATGTGAATAAAACACTTTTTTGACATTCAAAAACAAAAGGGTACACAAGTTAGATGGGATCAATACTCTTCTGGATTCACCATTTCAAATTAGGGTGGTTAAACAAACTTGAGTTGGACTCGTGTTTAGCTCATTAACGAGCTTGAGAGTGATATGTAAACAAATCAAAATTGAACAAAATTTTAAATTGTTAGTTTTCAAGATCTGCCAGTATCAGTATGTAAATCAACAAATTAAATTTGAACATAATTTTAAATTCATTTAATTACTAAATCAATCTTTAACAATATATTACTCCGTTCAACTCAATTTATTTTCAACCAATCAAATATTGTGATTGGTTGGTAAACTTTTAAAAGTGTGTGAACAACTTTATTTTTGGCATTTTCCAAACTTTTGAAAATCATCAACCCCAAGGGTAATATCATCAATTTAAAACTCAACAATCCACCATAACACGGCAAATTAAGAATTGCCGGTCCATTTTGATCAGAACCGCGTATTTTAGGTCTGTTTGGCTACGGAGAAATTACGAAAGAAAAAACAATGTCCCAAAACATTTTTCAGCAACTAAACGGAGTGAATCAAAAACTAATTCAACCGAGTTAGATTTCTCTGTTTGGTTTTAAAAATAGTTTTTAAAAAAATGACTACAATATTTTATTTTTTTTAAAAAAAAAACTGTTGAAAACTCAAAACCAATAATAAGATTTGAGAGAAATGGAATGGCATTTCAGTAGTTTGGAGGAGGTTAATGAGATCTTACTCGAATGAGTCGGAAAAGGACCACTTGGAGTAAACAGGGAGGCTGAATCCGAAGATGGAGACGGTGGCAGATTCTTCGGCAGTGGCCATGAGAGAGAGAGCGGTCACGGAGGCCAAAAGGCAAGCCACCCTCAGAACTGCATGAGTCACGTCAAGTTTCCGCCGAATGCTCCGGTCAGTACGAGCCGCCGAGACCAGTGGGCCGCTCATTGGCCCACTCTCCACCACCTTCGTCTCCGCTAGCTGTATCCCTATCTCCTCCGCCGGCGTCTTTAGTCCGTTCATCATTGTTTCTCTCTCTCTCTCTCTCTCTCCACACAACTCTCTCCCTTTCTCTCTCTCTCTCTCTCTCTGGTCCGTTCTACATACAGAGTGCTTGCTCGAGTCGAGACAGAGAAAGCAGTGGGAGTCGGGTTTTATTTTAGGGTTGTTTTTAAAAATAGTTTAAAAGAAAAATGTTTGGTAGATTGAATTTGTGTGCCGTGAACAACTTAAATGTATTAAAATATTATCGTTTTGAGTTGTTTGAATCATGAAAATTCGAGTTGCTAAGTATTGTGAGATTAAAAATTGGTTTTTTTAGTTTTATTTTTAGCCTTTCCCTTTTGAAAAAATGTTTTAAAAAGTAAAGGTATAATCAGTTTGTCTGGTTTTGATTTCAAAAAATTCTACGTTTTATTTTTTGGATTTTTTTGTTTTTAATGAATTTTTAAAATATTTTAAATAATTTTTAAAAAATTTTAAATACATCTAACATAAATATATTTTAAAAGGATAATATTTATCAAAAAATCTATAAAAAAATTCACTATATCAAAAATGTTTTTAAAAAAATTAATAAATTTTTTATATTTTTGTGTATTTATCAATTTTTTAAAATATTTTTTCATAAATATTTTATTATTTAGATACATCTAATTAAGGTGTATATAAAAAAGTAAAAAAAAAAATTGCTTAAATTTTTAAAAATATTCACTAAAAATTAAAAAAATACAAACAATAAAAAAACTTAATTTTTAAAAAACTGAATTCAGAAAATTAAAAACAAACACACAAAATACTATATAATAAAAAAAAATAAAAGTTAAAAGTTAAAGGTTAAAAAAAAAAAATTCTTTTAATCTCTTACCAAAAAGGCCTTGTAAGAGCATTAGCATCAACATTAGCATATGTCGAGAGCAAAAGTTGTGAATATGTGATCAATCAGTTTCGCTATAGCCTTCATTCATTTTGTTAACGCTATAGTACCTCTCCTAATGAAACGAGAAACTGTTCATAGACTATTCAATTTTTTATGTGTTACCAGATGTCTGTTCGGAAGTCCGGCCGATCAACGGTAAATTTTATTTTATTTTATTAAATACATTTCCTCCTATTTTACCTTTACAAAGGAACATAGAAATTGTTTTGCTGGCAGCTCATCAATTTAATAACAAAAAAATAGCAGATATTTTAATAGAATTGAGTTATAATAGAGAGTTTGATATAGTTAGATGACTAGCTAAAATAGAAATATGATTTTTTAAGTTATAATTTGACTAAAAATTTGAAGAGACTAGTGTGAATGCTAAAGGGTTTGGCTTCTTTAAAAATCTAACTTGAGAGAGTATTCATAAGAGCATCTGTATCAGCCTCTTCAAAATTTTAGTCAAATTATAACTTAAAAAGTTATTTTTCTATTTTAGCTAGTCACCCACTGCATCAAACTCTCTATTTTAAAAATATTTGTTATTTTTTTTATAATTAAATTAATGAGCTATCAACCAAACACTTCTTATGTTTCACAAAAGGTAAAACTAGAGGAAATGTACAAAAAAAAAAAAAAATTTGCCATTGACCGGTTGACCGGCCATTCGGAAGGAAAAAAAAAAAAAAAAAAAATTGCCATTGACCGGTTGACCGACCGGACTTCCGAACGGATGTCCAGATACACCCAAATCACATGTTTTAGCGATGAACAGTTGCTCGCTTCATCAAAGGAATTACTGTAGCAAATTTAACCAAAAGTTAATTTAGAAAAAAATTGTTAAGACTGATGGAGGAAAAATTTGATGATTTATTAGTTATATTTTAATTTTTTGTTATTTTGAAGATACTGATGCTAATGCTCTGAGCCTTTTCACAATTAGACTAAAAGTTAATTATTTAATTTTTCCTTTCATATTATTTCTCTATTTCTTTTGTGTGTTTTTAAAAAAAATAAAAATAAAAATAAAAATAACTTTTAATTTACTTTTAAAAATAGGTTTTATTGTAAGCCAATTTCGATAATCTGAATCATCATAACTCCAATCAAATCATTTTATGATTCGTTAAGAATAATAAATATATAAATAACCAAGATGATTGAATTTTATTAATTATATATTTTAATCATATTTGTCTTAAAAAAATAATCGACAGATATAATTCAAGAAATCTAAATAAAATGATGTATTATTTTAACACATGCCAAATAACACTATAATTACTAAAATCAAATTATCTTAATTATATATATATATATATTTATTATAGTTAATAAATCATAAAACATGAATAGTTTAGATAATCGGGATTTGACTAACAATATGCCTAGGGTTTGTTTGATATGTGGAATGACTTTTTGACTTTTTGGCTATTTTAACTTGAGGCTAAAAAGTCTCGTTTGGAATAGATTTTTTGACTTTTTTGAATTTTGTGAGAGAAAAAATGAAATGATTATAGGTTGGATATGATGGTTTGTCTTATAAAATTAAAAAGTCTATTTTGTCTTTTCATGACTAAAATAGCCAAAAAATAAAAAACCTGGCATATCAAACGAAAACCTAGTAAGGGGTTGTTTGGGAAGGGCTAAATTAATATATTTTTTAATTTTTTACAAAAAAACGTGAAATATGAGTTGGATTTGAAATGATGTAGTAGAGATATAATGCAATTTAAATAAGATGATTGCGATTTAAATAAGATATTGTGCTAAAACAGGTCAAACATCCACTAAATTCAAATAGTCTCTATCAAATTGATGCCTCTTTTGGAAAGTTAGATAAAAGTAAAAAATCTAACTCATTTTGGGTCACAGTATTTCTCATATTTTTTATACATTTAAAAAATAAAATAAAATAAAATAAATCAACTTTTAATTATATTCTCAAAATTACCCTTGTTAACTTACAATAGTCAAAAATTCAAAAAGTAAAAAAAATCCATACTATTTGGGAGAAGCTTGCGAAGGAAGCTTAGAGGACAAAATTATTATTTTACTTTTTGAATTCAATTACCCAAAAACCAAAAAATCAACAACAGTAGAATGATCATTTTGATTTTATTATAATATTTTATTACACATTTTTTCGTAAAAAGTAAAAAAGTTATTCAAAATATACATTTTTTTTTCTACTTTTTTAACTAAAAAATTAAGAAGTGCACTTATATAACACATTCTAAACAACCCAGGATGGTTTGTTTATGATGATCTAAATAAATATATTTTTTAATTTTTTATAAAAAATATACAAAAAAAAATAAACAGATAATATGACCCCAAAAATTAAAAAATATATATTTTAGTACACTCTAAACAAGCAAAAGCGTAGGAAAGCGGGTTGGAAAAATGTGTGGGTTACCGGGCCGTCCGATGCAGGAGACACGTGGCGAAGCAACAGGTGGGTCAGGTACAGCGCCCTTGACTACAGTTGATTGTCCGTGACTCCAAACAACACGTGGGTCAAGTACACTGCAATTTTTTTCTGTATTTTTATAAGGAAGATGAGTGAGAACACTAATTAGTACTATCAATAATGATGTAACAGTGAGCCTTACCAAGAATGATTTAATGTTTTGGCTTTGGTGCTGTATTTTTTTTCTTTTTTTATTGAGTGTCATGTCATTAGTGGCCTTTTTAGAGCTCCAAAATTAATGATCTCTATCATTGTTGTTTTTACAAAGGTTCATTTGGAATAGAAATTCGAATATGAAAAAGATTAGTAGCTCGAGAATTTTTGGCTCAAGTGGTCCGAACATTTTTTCTCTCCTCTCTTCCTTTCCTTTCCTCTCCTCTTCTCTCTATCTCTATTCAAACACTCTCTCCACTCTTTCTCTCCTCTCTTCCTTTCCTTTCCTCTTCTCTTCTCTCTATCTCTATTCAAACACTCTCTGCACTCTCACCTCTCATCCCTTTCTCTAATTTGGGTTTGATTTTTTAATTTTGATTTTTTTTTTCCTTCTCTGAAACTGTGTTTTTTTTTTTTTCTTGCACTGTCTTTTTCCTTCATTTTCTTCATTTTCTTCTTCTGTTCTCTCTCTCTCATCACTGTCTTCAATTTTCATCTTCATTGCAATGAGTAGCGAGTGTTCCATCAAGACAATCACGAAGGCTGTGAACTCGAGTCAGAACATAAGATGTCATGTTTTCTTCACTACGAAAATCAAGGGATTCTCAGACAAAACTAAACTTGCAATGTATACATATACATATACATACTGTGTGAGTAATTTTCTGACCACACTGCCCGCCTAGTAATCAGTTGGAAAAGCACTGGCAGAATAGATGGCCTCTAGCTAACCTACAACAGAAAGAGAAGTCTCCGGTGGTGGTTCAACCACCCAGGGGTACTTCGACGATTAAGTCAGTATATCTCTCAAAGATAATCAAGTGCTAAACTCACAAGCTTAAGCCTAAAAAGCATACCTTAGACCCATGGGGGTGCCTCTCTTTTATAGCCAACATAAACCTAGTCCCAATAGAAGCTTGACTTCTATGGACTCCCATTCAGTGCTTACTTTGGATTTCACAAGAGATAAAGATAAACTCCCTAAGAGCTTTATCCTTATCTTAGCAAAGTTCCATTTTTACTCTAGGACTCCTGCCCCTTATCCATTTATCTTGGATTCCGATATCTTCGGAGATAACCTCGGCGTCACAACCAGGATACGTGGCACCTCGGCTGACACGTCGGCGTCACCTTGCCACGTGTTGGTATTCAGAAAATACATCCCCACAACCATGGTTTTAAAAACCGGACCGGACCGGCCGGTTCAACCGGTTAAACCGCCGACCGGTCCAGGTTCCAGTCCGAGTACACCCACAGAACCGGTCATAGTGGAAAACCGACCTATTTTGGGAGAACCGGGAAAACTGGCGGTCAAACCGCCGAACCGGTCGACCCGGTTCCGATTCACTGGGTCATTTAGATGAAAAATTTTGAACTGTTTTGGATATTTTCTATTTTTTTTCTTTCTTTTCTTTCTTATTTTCATATATTTTCATACATTTTTACATTAATTTTAACACTACTTAAAGCTGGTTTTAACATTTTCTTTCTAATTATTTTGATCTCAAAGCACAATTATTGGATGATCTTCAATTAATATTTCAC